AATATAAATATAAATAAATATAAATATAATATAATATAAATAAAATATAAATATAATATAAATATAAATTATAATATAAATATAAATATAAATATAAATATAATTAAATATAATATAAATATAAATAAAAATATAAATATAAATATAAATATAATATAAATATAATATAAAATAAATATAAATATAATATAAATATAAATATAAATATAAATATAAATATAAATATAAATTAAATATAAATATATAAATATAAATATAAATATAAATATAATATAAATAAATATAAATAAAATATAAATTAAATATAAATATAATATAATATACTATAAATAAATATAAATATAATATAAATATAAATATAAATAGAAATAAATATAATAAATATAAATATAAATATAATATAAATATAAAATATATAATAAAATATAAATATAAATATAAATATAAATATAATATAAATAGAATATAAATATAATATAAATATAAATAAATAAAATATAATATAAAATATAAATATAAATATAATATAAATATAAATATAAATATAAATAAAATATAAATATAAATAAAATATAAATATAATATAATATAAATATAAATATAAATATAAATATAAATATAATATAATATAATAAATATAAATATAAATAAATATAAATATAAATATAAATATAAATAAATATAAATAAATATAATATAATATAAATATAAATATAAATATAATATAAATATAAATATAAATATAAAATAAATATAAATATAAATAAAATATAAATATAAATATAAATAAAATATAAATAAAATATAAATAATATAATATAAATATAAATATAAATATAAATATAATATAAATATAAATATAAATATAAATAAATATAAATAAATATAATAAATATAAATATAATATAAATATAAATATAAATATAAATAAAATATATATAAATAAAATATAAATATAAATATAAATAAATATAAATATAAATAAATATAAATAGAATATAATATAAATATAAATATAAATATAAATATAAATATAATATAATATAAATATAATATAATATAATAAAATATAAATATAAATATAAATATAAAAAATATAAATATAAATATAAATATAAATATAATATAATATAAATATAAATATAAATATAAATATATAATATATAATATAAATATAAATTAAATATATAAATATAAATATAAATATAAATATAAATATAAATATAAATATAAATATAAATAACCCTAAACCCTAAATCATATATATATATATATATATATATAAACTATATAATTTATACAATATATATTATTTATAATTATACATAATATATAATAAAATTATAGTTTATATATATTCATATATAATTTATATATAAATTATGTATTTTTCTATATAGTTCAATAGTTCATATATAACTATATAGTATTATAGTTTATACATGGTATATATTTTATACTTGATACATATAATATATAAACTATATAGTTTATATATATAATACATATACTTTATATATAAACTATATAGTTTATATTATATATGTATATATTAGTTGTTTTAATTTTTTTCTCAACTTATTACTTATTTCTATTTATTAATTCGTCCATAACTTTTTAAATGAGTATAATTTAGTATATTTTGTATTAATTTCAACCTCAAAATTTAAAATTATTTTGATTTGATCCATTTTGTGTTGTTTAATATATTTAAATTTTTATTTTTAATTTCATATTTGTTCAATTTAGTCCTCCAAATTTTATTTGCACCTGAAATTGACCCATACTTATTACTTATTTATATTTTTAAATTGGCCCATAACTTATTAAATGAGTATAATTTAGTATGTTTTTTGTATTAATTTCAACCTCAAAATTTAAAATTATTTTGATTTAATCCCTTTTGTGTTGTTTAATATATTAAAATTTTTATTTGTAATTTCATATTTGTTCAATTTAGTCCTCAAAATTTTATTTGCATCTAAAATTAACCCATACTTATTACTTATTTCTATTTTTAAATTGACCCATAACTTTTTAAATGGGTATAATTTAGTACTTTTTGTATTAATTTCAACATCACAATTTAAAATTATTTCAATTTGATCACTCATCAATGTGCGTTGTTTAATTTATTTAAATTTTTATTTGTAATTTCATATTTGTTCAATTTAATCCTCCAAATTTTATTTGCATATGAAATTGATCCATACTTATTACTTAATTTTATTTTTTAATTGGCGCATAACTTTTTAAATGGGTATAATTTAATACTTTTTTGTATTAATTTCAACCTCATAATTTAAAATTATTTTGATTTGATCCCTCATCAATATGTGTTGTTTAATTTATTTAAATTTTTATTTGTAATTTCATATTTATTCAATTTAATTCTTCAATTTGTATTTTTCATAAAATTGAACCATGATTATTTATATTCTTAGTAATTTACTCTAAATCATATACAATTACAAATTACAATTCAACGTTCGCGAAAGACGAAAATAATTAATCCAAAAATAAAAAATTACTCGATTTGAACTCAATCCGTATCTAATATAGATCCGACATGAATTTTATCTGCCAATGATGTGACCCGATCTGAACGAGATCCGTCTGATATCCATCTGAACTTAAATTAACTTGCTTTTTAACTGCTTTCGGACCTGAATTGTTTTGACCTGACCTGGTAACTATCCGAACTGAAAATGACCTGACCTGAACCCGATCTGGATCTGGTGTCAAATCAACCTGAAAATAACCCAAACTGATTTGACATGACCAGATCCCGATCTGGTGTCAAATTTACCTGACTTGACCTGTATCTGATTTTACCCGACCTGCCAAGATCCGACTGAAACTTGAACGATTACTCGATTTTACAACCATACTCAAAACCCTCATACAATTACCAAATTAACTACCCTTAAATTTCTAATACTTAATATAAAATTAATTTAACAACCGTTAAATTTGATCGTTATATAACATTGTCAACCATATAAAATTTCAAAAAAATTATCTTTAAAAAAATACTAAAGATTATATTTTTTTCAAAAGCCCTTAATTTTTTAAAATTATAAAAAATCCCCAAAATTTTAAAAAATCTTAATTTCAATCCCATCACCACAAATGCCATCAATTGGCCGATATTTCGATGACGTCTGATAGCCCAAACAACCAATGGCTGAACCCATATGATTCAAGTGACGATTGCAACAAAAAAAAATGGATGATTGTAGCACCACGATTCCTTTTGTCATCGATGATTCCAAGGATTCTTCGTCTGTCATCGGGAAGGAGGACAAAAAGGGGAGATGGAGGGAGAGAAAGCAAAGGGGAAAGGGGAAGGGACGACGGTGCAAGGTGGAGAGGGAGGTCGTGATAGGAGTTCTAAATTCTTTTCTTTCTTTTAAAAGATTTATATTTTATTTAAAAAAAAAAAATTTCAGAAAAAATATATACATGAACCATGTCCCTTAACAATTTCTTTTAACAATAGACACAAAAAATAACAGAGAAAACGCTAAACACATATTTAAGAACCAAAAATCAATTTTCAATATGGTTTAAGTACTTATTTTTATATTAAACCAATTTCTAACCTCCCTTGTCAGTGGCTTTCCTCATTCTCTCACTCTCGTCTCAAATTTGCCATCATTATAAGGCGCAACCTTATTTTTCATTTTTGTTTCTCTAAGATTGTGGGTAATGTTTTGTTAGCACATACTTCTTCCTTGAAATACATTGTTTCAGTGTATGGTACTTCCTAACTTACGGGTATCCGATCATTACGGGCCAGAACATATGCCAAGATTTTGATACCCGAAAATCTCAAGCACCCAGAATAAAATACGGGTACTCGAATATGAAAACCCCTACCTGTTAAAAGCAAATTTCCCTTTTCCTCCCCCTAAGTAGAAATTGTTCAAAAAAAGTATCAAACCAAGCCACTTTAGTGGTAAAAGAAAAATGTTATTCTTCCTAAAGATCTCCGGTTCAAACAACTATGTCTACATGTGTGTGCATTGTCAGTGGTTAATTTTTTTTTAACAAATACTACCCTGTAATCACTCCAAACTAATATAAAAAGATATTACTGAAACAAGGATTATACCATAATTTATATAAATATTCAAAACTTTAATCTAAATTTTCAAAACATAGGGGTGCTTATTGTAGTAAATATTAACACCAAGAGCGCAATTTTTCAAACACAAAGCAAATAGCAAAAGACATACTACGATGAACCTTACAGAAACCACTAACAAAAGCAAATTTCCAAAATCAGACCAAGATAAATCAAACAACAAAGCCATTAGCTTAATGCAGAAGTGTAATACCTAGCGCACAGGAGATTAAAGTTTTTGAGCCAGAACTACCTCTATTATCTGAACTCTACAGTTTTCCTAAAGCACGTGTTCGACATTTGCGCCAACACACTCAGTCATGAGCATGATACCAGGGTACCGTCCTCCAATATACAGAAAATCTCGAAAGCAAAATAATCCAGCATAATCATGTTGAATATATATATGTACCTAACATGCACACCCGAGTCCAGTTAACATAGGCCAGCACCACTTAGAACAAGATAATTGGATGTTCCAATTTTCCTCCAGAAGAGGAATTAGAATTATTTTAGAAGCATCTTTCAAAAGTTCTCCAATTTGAAAACTGGAAGTCACAGGCTTCCAAATGTTATTATACATGCATACATATACACACACAAACATATATATAGAACTAATTTGTGAAAGGGAAAAATCTTTTGAAGCTAAAACAACCAAGATCAGGGAACAGGCAGATGAGGCAATGCCCCAATCCCATCTCGGTCCATTACCATTCCTAGTTTTTCAGGCAATCAAGGACACCAAAAGGAATTCCACTCAAGCAAGATATTAAAATAAAACCAAAGGTTCCCAAAAGACAGATTATGATAAGCAATAAAAGAAAATGGTCTTAAGCGAATTAATATCAAGAAAACGTACCCTTCGATGGACACACATTCAATATCCGGCGCTCACCCTAAAGCTGAGTAACATTGGTCAAGGAAAATATGAACTACAAAGCCAAAACTTGCTGATTTGGGATCAATTGCCTCATTCTTATCCCCCTTCTTGTTTTACATGGCTTAACATACATTTACAAGAGAATGATGCTTCAATTATGTTAAAAAATGTACCGATACCCGAACACATTCAGTATTCCGACACTCGTCCTAAATCCAAGTAACATAGGTCTAGGCAACAACGAACTACAAAATCAAACTTGCTGATTTGTTCTTTCCCTTCCTTGAGTTTCTTTTCTTAACTGCCTGCTGATACATATCTAACAAACCCGGAGCTTCATCCTTGTTCTTAGTTATATATTCCTCCATAAATTTCTTTTCGGACAAAGTAAAAACCCAAACAATCTTCTTAGCTTCTTTGATCAGTTTCATTGACTTCAAAACCTTCAAAACTTCATACCTTGCCAGAATCCGTTTATCAGTCGAATACAGAATCAATTTCGGGTATGATATGACCGTCCTGGCGTCCAACTTCATCGTATTCACGTAAAAATCCATCAAATGCCTGAGTTTTCTCTCCGAACAAGCTAAACAAACAGGGTCTTTCCTTAAAGTATTAAAAACTTCCTCTCTAGTCCATCCCACGCTCATAAAAGCTTCGACTTTTTTCTTCCAATTACTCTCGCTCACCGAACAAATAACCCTAAGAGCATGTATAAACCTAGGTTGCCCCGGTTCGAGACCGGCTTCTTTAGCCAAATTAACGGCGTAAACCATTCGACCATGGCTCTGCAAGATAACCCTAGGTTGAAAAACCAACAATCTCGATATCCTATCGACCAAAACCCCTTCATTAATCAGCAAATTAATATTTTTTCGAACAATAGCATTAGACGTAAATAACCATGAAGAGGATCGTTTAATGGCAACCAACAATTCATCATCTTTCAAAAATTGGGATAAAATCTCAAAGCACGGCTTAATCTGAGATTTCAAGCCTCTAGAAAGAACCAAAGGATTCGAGGCGACGAATTGAGACAGAAGCTTACCTTCAAAACCCTTTTCAATGAAATAATCGAGCTTGGGCTTCATCCATTTGTTGAATCTGGAATGTACGAACGCTGGGCGATATTTGAGCACTTTGGCGATTTGGGTATCGTTGAATCCGTAGGATTTCAAAAAGTCGAAGAAGGGCGCGGATTCCAGAGCGGCGTTTTGGGGTGTTTTGAGGCGTTTGGGGTTTAAAGGGGGCGGCTTTGGAATTGGGTTGGTTTGAAGGAAACGTTTGTGGATGAGTAAAAGCAGATTTCTGAGAGGGGTTTTCGCCATTGTAGGGGAATGTTGGTTTTAGAGTTTAAGCAGACGAAGACCAAGAAGAAACCCCCTTTAATACAGGGTTTTATCTTATTACTTTCACAAAAAATCAAAATCGAGGGTTTTGATTTGTGATTTTTTTCTGAGTTTTGTAGTCCGTATTTATCATTTCGATAATTAAATTTTTATATTTTTAAAAATAAATTACATAAATAATTATTAATGTTTGATTAGACTTATTTTTTATTAAAATTTAAAAAATAACGATTTGATCATTAATTATATTAATTTTTAACAAATCAATCACTTGTTGTTAATAACTGTTAGGGTGTGTTTGGTTGGGGAATATGAGATTCATGGGAATGGAATTTACATTCCTCCGTTTGGTTGTTCGGGAATGTCATTCCCGATAATCTTACATTATCAGTTGTAGATTTTTTTGGGTATATTATCGGGAATATCATTACCTCCTTTTTTTAGATATTGTTGGATTACCAGCGTTTTGGATTAAAATGCCCTTAAATTTTTTTTCTTTCAAAAATATTCTTATCTTGTCATTGAATAATAAAAATTTTATGAACGTTAAATTATAAATTTATCTTTAAACTATTTTAGATTTATAAAAAAAAAATCTATAATTAAAATTTTATATGAAGTTCAGGGGTAAAATAAAATTTTACCATTTCATTAAACCTTTTTATATTTTTAATTTTATAAAAAAATTATATAAATTTTATGAATTTAAATTTTTTAAAGAAAATATATAAATATTTTCCAACTTGTTAAAATAATAAATATATAATAAGGATAATTTAGTCAAATATATATTACAATAATCTTTTATTCCTTTAACCAAACACAATAATCTTACATTCCTGCTAAATCAACCAAACACAAAATACAACATTCCCAGTAATCCTATTCCCTGGTAATCTTTATTCTCATGGATAATCTTACATTTCTTGAACCAAACGCACTCTTATCATAAATGACAGAAATTTGATACAACAAGTTAATCACTGACGTAATACTATTTGACCACCATTTTAACTTATCTTTCTCTTTCATATCCATTCTCTCTCTCGACTCTTCTTTTTAACTCTTCAATCATTAATCTTTCATCTTCAATCTTTACGCTCTCTGTACATCGACAACACTGTTTCTAGAGGGAAAAAAAAGTCAGACTGCGGTTGAGGGCTGAACACTACGTCATCCGACAACTCTACTTGAGAAACACAAGAAGATAGTGGATTTCCAAAATTTAAGAACAGAACTTGGGGTGTGAATTTTTTTTACTAAATGCTTGTTAAGTAATGGTTTGCTTACAATGCTATTGTTTTTAAAAAAATTATTCTTAACAGGTGAATACAAATGCTCAGCAAAACATTATAATGGTGGAATTTCAGGTGCTTGAGGACAAGGTTTCAAATCGCGGTCGCAATCGCGTTTTCGGTCATTTTGAGTTTACCGTTATTGCGGCCGTCGCGGGTGCTATTGCTGATGTAGCGGGTAACTCGAACGACGGCGAAACCGCTATATCGTGGACGAAATCACGGTCACGGAACGTTTTTTTGAACCCTGCTTGGGAATGTCCAAAACATGACTTACGGGTATGATGGAACCACTGACTAAGAAATAAAGAGTTAGTATACAAGCTAGTGCTTTAAAATTTGCTAACCCTTTTTTTTTGTGATGCCTACCAATTATTATACGGTAAGAATTTGGGTCAATGACTTCTATTGAATCATTTGTTTATAAATATTATGATAAGTTGACACATTTTATATCTTATTAAAGAAGTAAATAGTAAAATATTGAAGGCCTCTTCCAAGTTAATGTTTTGGTTAACGTGAAAAGACAAATGACGCTACTAAAATATTTAAATGGTTATACTCCTACGAATAGAGGTTGGAGAAGAGATTGTTTATATATAATATTTTTAATATATTTTTAAAATTATTAAAAAATATTAGAAATTCCTTTAGAATGAAATAAAATCATAAATGAAAACATTATTCTTAGAGTGGAGATTTTTTTTTCATAAATTATTCGTAATAATCCTACCGATTAAGTATGATGAGACTTTGAGAATATAGACATGTATAAACAAAATTTGAAAATTAGAGTTTGTATGATTAAAATCTACTGTGAATTTACTCTAGTAAAATTGATAGAAATTTTGTTCATATGTCTTATATGAAACTTTCAAGACACTTTACTTTTAGGGAATATTTTTCTACACTAAAATGTTAGAGAAAATGTGGGAGTAATTGACAATAATTTACACCCTAAAATATGAAGAAAAAAGTTGAAAGTGTCTAGAAAAAAATTAAATGATAACTAATTCCATGCATCTTATGAATCATATAAGTTTATAATTTATATATATGAAATTAAGGATTAAATATTACTAAAACTAATAAAATATAATATTTGAGTAAAAATGTGTACACATAAAAATATTTCAATAATGATATGATTCTTAAATAACCATCTCAACATAAAATTTGATGAAAAGAAACAATGTTTCACATTATAAAGACGTTCAAGAGTTCTTCTTGATCTGGCATTGACATAGTTAAAAGATTATAATAAACATACCCACAACTTGAGTCTAAATATTGGAAAATTCTTAAGTGTTTACTTGAACATTTAAAGTTTATGATTACTCGGGATTATAATTTATCAAAAAATAACAAGCAATCCTAGAAGAATATAATGATTTGATGGCTGATACTGGAATGATAAATTCCTTTTTTGGTGTGTATGTGCTTATCTTAGGTAAAGCAGTTGTTGTATTGTTTTGTTAGTTCTACCATGAAATGTGAGATGATAAATTTTGGCTAAGCCAAACAAAAGATCAAATGATCTAAAAATCGATTAAGAATCCTTAGAAGGAAAACTATTCAAACATTTGTATCTTCATAGGACTCATAAGCTATCATAAGTGTTGTTAAAAATCAAAGACTAAAGCAATGAGAGAAGACGAGTCTGTGCAATAAAGAGATGGTCTTAATGTTGAAGTATTAGAGGATTGAAGAGAATCTTTGTTGACCCATTAACTTCAAAGTTAAATAGGAACGTGGTTAATAAATCGTCTAGTACTAAAAATACAAAGAAACAAGTTGAACAATGTTACTGAACAAAAGAATCAGTGAATATTTCATTGCTCTCAAGGGTTTTTAACATAACTGCATATACAACAATCCAACAAACTTAAACTTCCTAACTACCATGCACAACCATAACACGTCACGTGTCTTTATTATTCAACATTCCCTCACTTCTTCTTCTTCTTTCCTCTTTTTTTCTTACTACATACAGCGTAGGACACAAACTCTGTGCCTGAAAATATCAAAAGATGGTTTGGCTAATGGTTTTGTTAAACCTGTAATACCCCAAATTAGGGGTCAAATTATGAGTTTATGAAATTTAGAGACAATTTTAGGAAGTGCAGGAAATTCAGGGACATAGTCCTAAATTTGCCCATTTTCTGTTTTTGGTGAAAAATAAACCCGGTTAAATTTTTCCCCGATTGGTAAGAACAAAAAAAATCTCCAAATTTCAGACAAAATCCATAAAACTTCCCCCTAATCGAAGCCTCGTCGGAACCCCAGGCCCTCGCCGTTTGGCCACCATTCAACCTCCCCACTACCCCGTTCGAATCATCTTTGACCGGCAACCAAGGCTAGTCATCACCGAAGTGTGATTCAGCTTTGATCGGCGCGAATCGATGCTTGAATCACCGTCGTGACCCCACCTTGCCGTTCCATTTTATACGAATTCTGGCCACCTCTGTTATCCATTCGCCTCACCGCCCCCAGCATCGATTTCTACAACCTTTTCCGACCAAAATCTGACAGGGGTTGCCGTTCACTATCGTTAGCTTCGTCTGATCGTCGATGTGGGTAAACTCTCCGAACTTATTCCGATTATTTTATGTTGTTTTGGCTGAAATTTGATATGTTATGGGTTTAATTTGGCAAATGATTGAACAGGCAGTAATCAGCCGACCGCTCCAACCCCTGTTGCCATTGCATGCGCCGGCAGTGCGCGTGGGGATCGTTCCCCACTTTAGTTTCTTATAGAACGTCTAGACCGGCCCAACCCGACCCGTCTTCCTGAGCCGCTTGACCCGACCCGAACCATTGACCGGTCATACCGTTGACTTTGACTGATCAGTTTATTGACTTTGACCAAAAAAGTAAAATTTTCCGAAAAGCCCTATTTTATGTTTTTCAACGTCCTAAGTCTGAATCCGAAGTTCATTTTGCCAAAGTCACACCCGGTAAGCCGTTTTTCAATGTTTTATCTTCGGATTCAAGTTGGTTTCTCATTTAAGTTCAGTTTCTGACGTAAATTCGGTTGCTTTGTATCCGAAGAATTATTGGACATTGATTTCAAGTTCGAGAGTGGTCGAATGGAGATTAATTGGTCGATCAATATGGCAAGAAAACCAAGGTAATACTTTACTACCTTTTGTATGCTTTTCGGAACTTGCTGATAAATGGTAAATACATGAATGGAAATAATTGGTCAATTAGGGTAGTTAACTATCTTTGGACTCAGACTGAAATTGGATTAAGGACGGAACATTGTATAAGACTCTAACGACTTGAAAAAGAAATTGGTAGACTGATCGGAAACAAATCTCAGTTCAATGAATAAATCGATAAATCAATCAATCTTAGAACGCATAAATACTGATTAATCTCGATAAAGATTAAATGATGGAAATATTTGGAATGCCCCTGAAGTGTAATATGTTTCGAAACATGCCCAAGCTCTGGAATAACTAATATCCTCAACTCTGAAATAAACAAATCAACCTCGTATACCAATATGACTATATTATATGACCAATTTAAACGGAATGGAAGTATTGTATGTATTCAAATTTCATAAACGACCGAATTACTCTGGAAACTCCGAAGTAACTGGGATAGACTGGGCTATTAAATGATCTAAGTACCCTCAATGACCTTGAATTAAGTGAATAACTTGGATAAGTATGGAAACACCAATAGTTATATATATATATTGTACTGTCCATAAGGGTTTTGAACCACGAATCAAGCACGTCGACATTTCCTGATATTGTTGAA